ACGTATTTGTGAGTAGAAAACTACAGATTGAGCTGGACTGTATCATCATGTGGTATAAAATTGATATGGTCGTCAAGCATGTGTCAGAACACATGATCACTTAGTCGGTCAACTTCAGCAATCTTACTTCTTATGCTTTTCGACACAATACCTACATCATTTTAATTTCTGCTTGTGTCATCATAGGAGCTCATATACATCTCCTAGAACGATCGCATCCTTCCATTTATTTTCCTGCATAAGGTATATCCCTGTCTTCTGAGAACAGCCATTGCAAGACAGGGCTAGCTATTAGTGATGTACAAATCATTCTTCCTCTAGAGGTAGGTAAGGATTCTGAACTCGTTACTATAAATATGACGCTGACAGTCTAACTTAAACATCGGCATCGGGCAATGTTCAAAGTTCCTAGAATGAAAATTCGGCTGGGATTCGTTGATAAATGTTAACAAAGTGAAATAAAGACGAGCAACTCAGTCTGAACGGAAAACATACTACCTTCATCGTGCCTTGGGTTCCAACGGGCATGAATACTGGAGTTTTAACGGTGGAATGTGGTAATGTGAGTAAACCATGACGAGCTCTACCCGTCTGTTGGATTATCTCGAACTTCATGATGATAACAATAAGAACCTGACGTAATCGATGCCTGTACGTTAAACTGCCTGCAAGGTTTGTCTTTTATTTACAAAATCCTTGTTTAAAAACTTCTCTTCTAACTTTTACGAAGGAAATTTCACGAAACCAACAAAATCGTAAGAAAAATGTCATAATCGGTGAAAAGTGATGTTATTTGTTCTTAAGAACCGTAAATTTCTAAAGGCATTTTACAATTTCTACAACTGTATTAGTGACTAGTAGTCAGCATATTTTCGCTTTACAACATCAACCGTACACATGGACTTTCCCAAACTGCACCCAACAATCTGCACATATAAATCTTTACTAAATGTAATGTTATCAAACTGGCATACCAAATACATACTATGGCGCAAAAACATTTTGACTTAGATTATAAGGTGAATTTATACAACACGTAAGTCTGAACCTACATAATTCATATAAAATGCAAGTACTTCCCATAAACGTGGGAATTTGATCTAGTGTTAACAATCTGCAGCAACTTAACATCAAAAACCTCAATCGAGAGTGGAAGTTTGACCGGCGAAAATCTAATAATGCTGAGGAGTACGACAAATCGACATAAACCAATTGAACCAATCCAAATGTCCGAATCCTACTCACAAATAGATTAATCACCTCACTGAGTTTCATCATTCTTTATCAGCTGCAGCCTTCGAAGGGTCCAGAGCTGCCTCAGGATCGCAAACCTCCAAAATGGCTCGTCCTTCAACTTCCGACATTGATAATTGCTTCAGTACCTATACAACCAACTCATCAAACAACAGAAACTTTCGTAATACACGCTCAATGAAAGTGTTCTACAAGTGAACACAAATAAAATCAGAGGTTCCAGTAGTGCCAACGGCAGCACCTGGGAAGCCTGATTCATTGGATAAACTCGGTAATCAGGTGCTTCAATCTGGCCACCAGCGATCAGATGAACTAGATTTTTCAGCTGTTCCATGCTTCCTCTGAAAAAAAGTCAGTGAAGCGATAGGTGCATGACCGCTG